ACACACACACACACACACACACACACACACACACACACACACACACACACACACAAATACTAATAACCAAAACCTCACAATGACTTGCAAAACAAAAACAGGTGCTTTTAAAACAAATACTTTATTTTCAAGATATATGTACATATTTATAATTTGAGGCACAATTTCAAACTAACACAGCTTGGGAACATTAACATAGAAAAACTAAACTTGACTACTGCCAACGCACTGTGGACAAATTCCTCTTCTCAGTGGGGTCAAATGAAACCTCAGACTGCATAGACTGTTTAAGAATTAATGCAAGGGATTCATTTAAAATGCATCTCTCTTGCCAGCAGCATAAACAGATTGCATATTTGCATAAACAGAGCAAACCTTTAATTGCTTGCAAAATGTTTTCCCAAGTAGAGGATATTTTTCAGCTGTTAAATTCCTTATTCAGGCATTTCTATGCCTTACTGCAAGTGATCACACATACTGAACACACATAATATCACACAGTCATCCATTTTTTTTTCATTAAACTGTACTTTCATGTAAAATAAAATAAGTCAATACAACTATAAGTTAAATCTGGGCAAACCAGGTTACATTCAAAATGCTTGTAGTTTGACTACAAAGTGACGCAAAAGTGATGATTTCTTAAACAGTGAGGCACGGAGAGTAAAAGGCCACACTTTATAAACCACCAAATCTGCCATTTTTATCCTTAACAGAGTAGTGATTCTCTAGCATGTGTTCCAGGAACATTGTCAACACGTGAATTTACCTCTGGCTAATATGTTACTTTGGCATCGACCAAGTAGTCAGCAGGCACCATGCAGCAGGATACATCTAGGGAGTTTTGTGGCCCAGGGTCAAAAAAAAATTAATCTTCTAGCACCACATCCAGGACATTCCATCAAGCACGGAGAACTTGCCCAAAAGACGACTTTCAGAAATGGACTCACAGGATTCATAAATCACAATTAAATTTCAGAGTCTAATCCCTAGTGACCAAAAAAAGAACTAGCCATTTAACTTAGCCCATCTAACATCTGAATTTTATTAATAATCAAATAATCATCGGTATATAACTGCAAGGCAGATTTTCATGAAAAGACAAGTGGGCTACGCCTCGTGCCTGTGAACAGAAAGTTGCCGGTTCTAGCCCAGCCTCAGTACATCTGCGGGTCCTGGAGCAAGGCCCTCAACAAACCCCCAGCTCCCTGGATGCTGTTATGGGCAGCTGCCCTTTGCGGCCAGCTTGCCGTCATCTACAGAGAGCAAACTGGGGGAGACGTAAAGAGAATTTCCCCATGGGGCTCAATAAAGTATCAATTATTATTATAAAAAGAAATGTATCTTTGTTATCACTAGCTTTTAAACTTGTTAGAACCTGGAAACTGCAGAACATGTACTGTTAAACACCAGCAGGCCCCGTTTCATTGATGGTTTTGCATATAATTACCTGAATTAACCACTCATCTTGGTGGGGGGGGCATTTACATTGATGTTACCTCCCTAAGGTCACTTGAAGCAAAAAAATGATTATAAACATTTCCAGTAGTATGACAGATCAGCTGAAATTCCGCTGAAAATTCACAGCATCCCGGCCCAAAACCGTCAGGTGGGAAAACGGCAGCCACTGCACCAGGGCACTGACAGGGCAAACCGAAGTCCACCAAAGTCCGCCGTGAGCAAACAGCGACTCGAGGACCCAGTGCTTTGGCCGTAGAACGGCTCACCGACCCCCTCATGAGGAAAAGACCGCAACCGGGGTATGACTGCCTGTTTGGATACCCTTCCATTCCATATACTATAACAAAATAACACTCAAAATACATAACTACGTGTTAAGCAACAAAAGTTTCCCCCTCAGTCTAGGTATAATACTGCTGTATGATAACTACTCTATACACTATACCCATATATACCCACTCTATACACTATACAGATGTATTCCCACTCTATACACTATAACCATATATACCCCCACTCTATACACTATAACCATATATACCCACTCTTTACACTATAACCATATATACCCACTCTTTACACTATACAGATGTATACCCACTCTATACACTATACCCATATATACCCACTCTATACACTATACCCATATATACCCACTCTATACACTATACCCATATATACCCACTCTATACACTATAACCATATATACCCACTCTTTACACTCTTTACACTATACCCATATATACCCACTATTTACACTACACAGATGTATACCCACTCTATACACTATACCCATATATACCCACTCTATACACTACAACCATATATACCCACTCTATACACTACAACCATATATACCCACTCTTTACACTATACCCATATATACCCACTCTATACACTACAACCATATATACCCACTCTATACAATATACCTATAGGCATAACACAGTACTTAAAGTACTTAAACAGCCAGTGCCGGGTGAAGCCCATGTGTCGCTATAGACAAGCCTCACCACCAGGGCCCCCTTGTCTGCCACAAAGTGATACTGGCTGGCTAAGGCAGCGCCCCACCAAAAGATACCAGCACTGAGCACAGTACTACAGCTAAAGCCATGGGATTCTGTGGAGGGAGAGGGTTTACTCGTGGGGTGGCCAAAAAAGAAAATCTACCAGTGGAAAGCATGTGTTTGTGTACATATGGATTCATACTGTGAACACACACACACACACACACACACAAAAACATTTATGCAATTACCCAATGGTACGCAGCCCATAGTTGAATAAGCTACGAGTAAAAGCAACCCTGAGCTTTAAAACACCTTTGCCTGCACAATTTATCCCAGACTTTCCATCGGCACAGTAAAATTCAGATGCAACTGTCAGTGAGAGACGTTATAACAAACAAACAAGAGGCAGGATACTCAATCGCACTTATGGGTAAGAAGCCACTTTTGAAAGAAAAATATGTTTTAAAAGTACAGTATTAGTTTGTAAGATAAAACATCATGAATGACTATGACCCTACATACACGTCACCCACCTTCACACTCTCCCAAATAGCGGTTTAAATAAGCTTTATACTTTAAATATGATGTCAGCATCACCCACTGGCATTGTAATTGCTTTGCATCATAAGCGAGAACAATTTCAAAGACTAAAAACATGAATATAAAATTACAGAGGGGGGCACTTGCTGTTGGACTGCTAGGTGTGTGGGACCTGCTTCAACACACGAGGAAATAATAATAATAATAATAAAATGAAAGCAGAAGTAAAAGAAAGTGAATTTGATGAGAAGGCAGGCCCTATCCAGCGAGGAAGCATTAGCATCTAAAGAGTCTCTGAGCAGCTCTGAGAAGCTGGGGAGGAAGAGGCAACGATACCGTCCTACAAGAACACAGATAGAGGGAAAGATGGAGGGAAAGGTGGGAGGGAGAGAAGGGAAAGATGGCAGGAGAAGAGTGTAAGGAGTGTGGACAGATGGATGGAAGGAGAGAGACAGACGTTAATCAAGCACCTCTTCAAACATGATGTCTTGAAACTCTGAAGCACAACTCTGAGAAGAAAGCTAGTCCTAATAGGGCGATGGCAGAAGAGAGACTATGAACGCTATGTGTATCTTTCATGTGTATCTTTTTTTTATGAAGACATTTGCCAATATCAGGTAGTATTTTTCAAACTGCCCTACTTCACATCACCAGGTTCCCATGAGGTCACCAATGAATCATTTCTTAGCTGTGTTTAGGTTTCTCTTGCAGCACAAAACTACTGCAAACTCTGATTCATCTTTGGACACAAACCATTTCCGATCAGAGAGTCAGACCCAGGCAGGAACCCAAAGTCAGCCTTGGTAGAGCTACAGTCAGCAGGACAGCAGACCTTTGAGAGACCCAGACAATGCCGGCAACCCTGTAACGTGGGTCAACTTTTACCCGAAAATCACTTTCCACCTTAAATTTTGGAACTACCGCTCTCTCCTTTATTGCTAACAGCGTGAAACACTAGGCTACAAAGTCAGCAGCTTAAGACATTTGCAACTATCAACAAGACAAAAAATATTATTTGGGAAAAAAAAATGAGAAAGGGAGTCTTGACTTACATTGTTGACTGGGATCGGACTCCGTGGTCATCTTGACGTAATTGGTGGGGAACAAGCCGACGACGCCATTCAGTTCCCCCTTCCACCAATCAGCATCATCCTTGTTCAGCACATTGATCAGCTGACCTTTTGAGAAGCTCATCTCATCCTCGTTGCCTGCCTTGTAGTCGTACATGGTGATGACCTGGCAAACTGAGAGCGGAGATAGAGGGAACAGCCAATGTGTGTGAAAGGGCGTTATGGGAGATACAAAAGGAGATCAGCACAGATCTTGGCACATGTTGCTGCTGATCTTACTTGGGACAGGAGCTGGTGTGGACTTCCCACTGGTGGGGCCCAGGAGCTTGACGTGGGAGGCGGGGAACCACCCGCTCTGGCGTTTTTTACCCCTAGCCTGGACAGATACAAGACAAGAGGTTCCTCATCAGGACATATATGCCAACTTAATTCAGGACAAATGCCTCTGACCTATGAGAGACCTGCAACTCAACTTCAATGCCTCCTCCCAAACACAGCCCAGGATTAAACCTCATCATGGGTACACAGGGCGTCCTCCACATTTACTAACATCACCATCATGACAACACGGGTCCACAGACCTGCAGAACCCCTTGCCACCACCCAGAGGGGTTCTTGCCCTGGATGAGGATAAGCTGTCCTGGGGCCAGGCTCAGCTGCTCCGCTCCGGTGGCAGTGTACGCAGTCGTCACTTGGGCAACCTCTGTCATACACATTCAAACATGAAAGCAGATGCGAACACGCACATGTGTTCAAGGCTGATAGAGCTCAGCAGCGTTCAGCACCGGCACAGACTATCTAACACAGCTGTGTTTCATCTGTATACAGGACACAGGCTAGCTGGACATGCTCTGGCGTCGACGGAAAGGCAAAGGTCAAGGTGTGTGGAGGCGGCCGGTGAATTTCATGGTGACACTTCGGGACCCAGCATGCTTACCTGGCTTTCTGCTGGCTCCACCTGACTTTCCCGCGGTACTATGTGTCTGTAGACAGACGCACGTTGGTAGACGTCAGAGTAGCAAAAGCTAAGCTGTCATGATTTATTACTTATAGACAATCAACTTTGCAGTTTAAGCATATCTGAGAAAAGTCATTCACACATGACAATTTACTTCAGATTCCTTTGGCTTTACGTAGTTGGAGGGGAAGACTCCACTCTTGTCTCCGATGTATCCATTCCACCAGTCCCCTTCTCTTTCCGTCACAACGATGGTGTCTCCTTCGTTGAAGGTGAGGTCTCCCTGCTCTGGGCTTTCATAGGTGTATAAGGCCACATACTCTGATTGGATGAGACAAGACAGAATTGGCCACATGATTTTTAAACTGCCACAAAACCTGCCTTACGATTGGATAGAAAATCAACGGTCACCAGCCAGTGAAACGGTGGCCTTCCACACCAGATTCAGTCAGACCCTGTTTCAAGGTTACTTCTGACATGCTAGCAGGGATTCCAGTAATATCAAGATGATTAAAAGGTACGCGAGAGAAGATAATATGCTAGATTTCAGATGGACAAAGTGAAGAGTAGTGACAGCCCAGGGGGACGAGAGGCTCGCTAAAACGGAATGTTGGGTACCAAAGCCAGACACACTGTATCCAAATGCGCTTCTGCTTAATTCATCTTATCTTTTCATTCAAATTCTTGCCTGGAACACAAACTTACCCTCTTGTAGAGTATTGTCAGGGCTATCGAACTCATCCACAGAAGAATATAGGGGTCTGGAAAATAAAGTAAAAAAAAATGAATAGGTGATACTGCTCATAAGTATTTTTCAATACATAAAGAAAAAAAATCCCTTACAAATTGATCTCATATATCTCTCTCAATACTACAAGCACAAATACATCACAATAGGATTCATAAGTATTGGGTCAATCAGTCAAACCAAATTTTCTATACTAAATCTAGCACATTTTCTCAAACATGTCACAAAGGCGGGGATTATTTAAATTACTCCTAGATCCCTGCCCCCAAAAACAAATCAAATACCACTTCGGTAATAAATACCTAGAAATATGGAACTTAGAATAAGGAAAAGGTTCAGTAGATGACCACCAGTCCCCAGGTGGCTGATAGGCTTTGGTCTGAGCAGAACAGCGCGACGACCCCTTCTGGAATCTCCCGAGGACCCACCAAGAGTGTCACTTACTCATTCCGGCTCACTGGCGTGACGTAGGTCTTGGGGAACCAGCCCTGCACTCCATTCAGCTGCCCCAGCCACCAGTTTTCCTGCTGCTCCAGCACCGTGATGATGTCATCCTTGGAGAAGTTCAGATGGTTGTCCGTCTTGGCCGTCCAGGAGCACAGCGCTTGCACCTGGAGGCCATTCGCCACCTGACCATGCAGAAAACATCTCTGTCAGCCGGGACACCACTCAGGAAACAAGATCTGTTAACATGAAAGTTTACCCACTTACGAATAAATCTAGAAAAAAAAGTGACTTTTTAAATGGGTCCCCAGAAACAGCAAACCTGCTCCTGATTGTTGTACATAAATAAAAAAAAAGCATAGTACAGAACAAAATACTGCAGTGGCGTGCAAGAGAATCGCAGAAGCAGGGAAGGCTTCTGAACAGACTTTTCAGATGCAGCCATGCAAACAGGCCACAGACTGACTGACACATAAATACACATCGGTGATGCTGCGGCATGCAGTAGAAACACAGAAACAGAACATGACTGGTCTGGTGGGGCCAGTTCTGAATTCGCACTCAAGACTTATTCAGATGCAGTTATGGTATTCTTCAGGTAGGGGGCGCTCCCGGCACACCTACCTGTCCGTACTCCATAGAGGCAGAGCCTGGAGGGTGGGTGGGAGTGAAGGCGGAGTTCTGTCCTGCCCCCCCAGGAGCGCTCTGCGCTGCCGGGAAGGTACTGGAATTAGGCTCCGCCTTGCTGAAGTGGGGACAGACCCAGGAAATTCAAACGGTCAGTGAGACCCTCATAAATATTCAGACGTAACACAGGACATAAGATACTGGTAGCAGGGGAGATTACTGGACACCGAGGGGCAACATCACCTCGCAGAGACTGAGGTAGATGATGCGGTCGGGGGCATCAGTGCCTGCTTGCTGCTGGCCGCAGATTCCGGTTGACTGTGTTTCTCGACGTAGCTCTCGGGGAACCAGCCCATCTTGCCCTTGTAGCTGCCATACAGCCAGCCCTGCTCGCCCTCCGTCTTCTCGTCCACCTGCGGGCTCAAGGCAATTAGCCAAGGGCTACCACAGGACGCGCCACACAACGCACATGGGAGTACGACCCAAAACCAGGTCACGACTGGCCAGAAAACACCCTAAAACATCTAATATATGAAAGGAGAAATGTACCATTAATAAATGAACAAGAACGTCTACATGTTTATTTATTTCGTCACAGGGGCACTGGCACCCCTCTGTCCTCCCTCCCCCAAAACTGCCCCTTGTTGCACTTTGTGGTGAACAAAAGGACACTGGGATCTAATTATAAAACACCCAAAAAGGATTCAGAAGAAAAGAGCTAATATGACACCAGAGCAATGATTGTCACCAGCACATTTCACTTATGGTACAAACAGATTAACACACTGTATACCTCAATTAAGCTGTCCGCGTCGAAGGTGAGCTCGTCCGCGTTCCGTGCTGTGAAGGGGTACAGGGCTCTGTAGGTTGTCAGGGAGGCCGATTTCCTGTGTGCTGACTTGACGGGTCTCAAACTCCCTGCAACGACAGGGTAGAGCCATGGTGTTCCACACTGTCAGTGAGTCAGCCGCCTCAGTGTGTGACTGTCCTTCTTAACGCTGTGTCACTAATGACGCAGCGCAGCTATTGAACCAGCACACGACATCTTGGGTCTGCTGACGGGACACTGGCATTTGGAGGCTGATGAAGATATTGTACAAACGCCGCCGCTAATAGTAGCCTTACAGCTCTGAGACTGTGATTTCTCATGGCATTTCCACACCTCCCAAAGGGAGCTGCATCGAGGCCATAATCCTTACCCTTTCGCTCCTCTAGGCCCCTGATCAGGGCTGACAGCTTCTCATGAATGTCTGTCTTGCCAAAATTTTGCTGCTGCTGCTGCTGCTTTTGCTGCCGGGCCACTTCCCCCCGCTCTCCCGCCCCACCCTCCTCCTCCTCCTCCTGTCTCCTCCGCTCCTCCTCCCGCCGCCTCCCCTCTTCTGCATCCCTGACAGCAGCTATCTGAGCCCGCTGACGTCTTCTCTCTTCCTCCTCCCTCTCTCTCTTCCTCTCCAGCTCCTGCTCCTCCTCCTTCTTCCTCCTGATCTCCTCCTCCTGCCACCTCCTCTCCTCCTCCTGCCTCCTCCTCTCCTCCTCAAATCTCTTTTTCTCTTCTTCCAGTCTTTTCCTCTCCAGCTCTAGCTTCCTTCTCTCCGCCTCCACCTTCCTCCGCTCCTCCTCTTGCCGCCTCCTCTCCTCTTCCTTCTGCCTCCTCTCCTCCTCCGCCTTTTTGTATTCCTCTCGCCGCCGCTCCTCCTCTAGCCTTCTCTCCTCCTCCCTCTTCTGGGCTTCCTCCTGCCTCCTCCTCTCCTCCTCCTCAGCGGCCCGGCGGTTCCGCTCGGCCTGCTCCTGAGCGGCGCGTAGTTTGGCCTGGAGTTCACGCTCACGCTCTTCCTCCTCCTTCAGCTTGGCCTCCCGCTCCTCCAGGGTCCTCCTCCGCCGCTCCTCCTCCTCCCGCTCTAGCTTCTCACGCCACTGCCGCTCTTTTTCCAGCTTGGCTTGCCTGTGAATGACATCATGCATCACATGGAAGCTGAATTTGACCCAGCACCACAACGCAGCCCTTCAATCACGTGATGCAGCTATATTTTCTTTAAACAAACAAACAAGGTCAATTGGATGCTTTAACTGAAGTTTGCCACACTAGGTATGTAATTGAGGTTAAAATTGTTCTTAGCCATCTGACATGTTCTGACATTATGTAGGTGATGTGTTGACCCACTTTAAAATGGAAAAGGAATAAAAATTGCCCAACACACATTCACTAAAATACCATTATGCAATGATCAACAGCAACCCTCTTTTATAACCTGTCAGTGGGAACTGCTCACTCAGAAAGAAAAAAAACACTTTTATTGCTTGATAATTTATGCACATCTTTTTTTTTTGACTGAGTGTAAATCCCACCTCTTCTTCCTACATTATCCTGCTAAAGCAGTGTTCCTCAATCCAGTCCTCAGGTACCCCAGGACGGTCCATGTGGAGCTCGGAGGGAGAAAAACATGGGCTGCCTGTGGATCCCCGAGGACCGGATTGGGAAGCACAGTGCTAAAGTGATATTAAGAAGCGATTCAGGACAGGTCAATCATCACTGCAGGGAAACCAAACCTGGCGCCAGGACGGCCAACAGAAATGTGAAACGACAACAGAGCGTGCAGGAGATCATGCCGTGCAGGAGGCCGGGCTCACCTGACGGCCTCCTCCTCCTCTCTCTTCCTCCTCTCCAGCTCCAGTTCTCGCCTCCGCTGCAGGTCGCATAGCTTGTCGGCCTTGGCCTGCCGCAGCCTGTCCAGGACCTGCTGTTGCTTGGTCTGGATCTCCCGGAGCTCCTGTGGGAAGGGACCGTACCCACACCGCCATTAGCGCAGAGCACCAAAGCCACACCGCACACCACCGCTCGCCACACAAGGTACAGACACCAGACCCAATTCAGGACACACGGGATTCTGGGCCATAGCTTATGGATGGCAAAAATAACAATAAGAATTAAAATAATACTCAAAGATCCCTGCTATTAATGCACTTAAATATTTCAACCAAGGATTGTTATACGCACTACAGGGAACATATAACACCACGTATTTTCTAAATGTGGTTGAATTAAGGTGACAGCAACTCACAGAACAGGAAATGAATATGGAGTGAATAGAAATATCGGCAAAGACGTCAAAGTAAAGGAAAAAATAAGTTAAACACAACAAGAGCTTTGGATGTAGCGGCGGGCAGCATGCTCTAACAGCGACAGGTGGCCAGAACCACGTCACAAGTGACGGTCATGAAAGTGGCATGGCCTTTCACGGGATCCATAACCCACGGGGCTGGGAAGACGGGATGGAGGATGAGGGAGATGGGCACGAATGTAGGGAGACAGAGGGGGGGGGGGAAGAAAGCAGTGAAACAACCTTAATCAGAAGGAAGAGACTGCTAAGACAGCCCAGCAAAGAAAGGAGACCCTGAAGAAGACAGTCGTCCATATCCTCAAACTCGGCAGGACGCGAAGAGGAGAGAAATGGAGGGGAGAGAGAAAGATAGAGTGAAAAATGAAAGAGTTAACGGGGAAAATTAATGGGAGGAGGCTGGCCTGCTAAGTACTGGTATCGAAGGGAGAATGGCGTGGAGAGCAGCTCTTACTGTGCCGTTTAGGCCCACTGTGTGTCAGATCCGCCCCCCTCCCCTGAGATGTCGTCAGTCACAAAAGCCAGTGGCATCTCCACAGCCAAAAGCAGAATTACAGGTTGGGTGACATCGCTCCCGGCCCCAAACAGATGCCGACAGGACGCGTTGTCATGCCGATGCATCGCTACGGCCTTGTTAGAGTAAACACTAAACAGCACGTGAGGGGCTACGGCATGATGGATATTTGCATTTATTTATTTAGCAGATGCTTTTGTCCAAAGTGACGTACAAGCGAGGATCAGAGAGCAGAGGCAGCTTGTGTCTCTGGGACAACTGTGGTTAAGGGCCCTGTTTACTCTACCTGCCTTGGGATTTGAACCCACAACCTTCCAGAGGGGGGTAAAATACAGATGCATACCTCACTGAGCTATGCATTGTCCAACATCACAAGAATATATTTTAATTATGTTTGGGTTTCCTATTAGAGGATGAAGCCTGTGTTGTCATTTGCTGACAAACTTTGGAATGTCATCTATACTAATGTCTGCAAAAGGTCATTGGTTACGGCACTGCAGGGATGGGCACTAAAAGGCTTCACAAATCAAAGTGTGTGAAATCACGGTGGACTGTCAATCTCTGCCTTTAACCCAAAAGAAATCAAAGACAAAAAAAATAATAATAATGAGTAGTTGGCATTGATGGACAAAATGACGCCTCATGAACCATTTGCTGTAATTTTTTACCCCACCAGATGGTGCTCTTGGTTTGCTTTGGGGCATGCTTTGAGCCCATTTATGAACAGAGTGCAGTCAAAAAAATACAGCAAATGGTTCATGGGGCATCATTTTTGTCCATCACTAGTAGTTTGGTAAACTGGTCAATTGATAAGTCCCATCTCCTGCCAATTTTGAGGCTTCACTTTATTCTATTTACGCATGCTAATGCCCCCTGTATAGCACACTGGGCTATCTAGAGGTAAGCCACAACATGGATGCCTTTCTACCACCAGTAATGCCTCCTCACCTTGATGTCCACGTTGTACTGGTCCATCTCCGACAGTTTTGCCGAGGTCTCCTTCTCCAGTGTGTCCAGCTGCTCCTTGAGTTTCCGACAGACAATGTCCTTCTCAGTCACACCCCTCTTTATGGAGGAGTGTGTCGGACCTGTATACAGAAACACTACCTCTAATATCACCAAACAATATCTATTTCTTTACCCACACCTAGAGTTATGTCCTGTACCAGTTAAAAGTGTAGGCACACCTACTGAAAATCATTTTTTCCCCCAACAAGCTAACAAACCTAGGAGGGTGCAGTGGTGGCTCTGAGGCTAGGGATGTGTCGGCAATTGGAAGGTCGCTGGTTCGAATCCTGTGAATGCCAGGATTGGCACTCCAGCCACCGGAAAAAGATGTACACTGTTCCATTCCATTAGAACTAGTGTGGTGCTGAGGCATCACCCGCTGGACGACTACAGTTAGGTTCTCATCCCTGAGGTGGTTTGTGTGGTGGGTGCGGCAAGGCGCTGTATTAGCATGCGCTCATTACGTTAACAACCCTAAGCGCACCTCGGGGTTATATGGTAAGTATTTTCTTGTGAGATGGAGTACTGTGACAGATGACCTGGCACCCACAATCCCCCCTCCACCCAAATCCAATAGAGCTGGTTTGGGATGAGTTGGATCAAAGAGTAAAACTAAGGTAGCTAACTTATGCCCAGAACTTGTGGAAACTCCTGTACTGCTGGAAAAGCTTTCCAGGGGGTTACATCTGGAAGCTGGCTGAAAGAATGCCAAGAGACTGCATTGCTGTCATCGAAGCAAAGCTGTTGACTGCCTCTAAGCCTTTTACTCTGTGAATAATGTAGCTAAAATGCAGACCAATGTATTACAAGCAGGTGTATCCAGACTTTTGTCTGGTTGTGTACACCTACATTTTAGGAGCATAAGAAGCATGGACCACCCACGTGTCACACTGACATTTAAGTACTTCAAGAATGACTGCAGGGGGCGCCAGTTAACATGGAGGGTAGCAGGGAGATCAGACTCACCAGATGTGCTGTTCAGCCCCATGTTGCATAGGATCTCCTTCAACCTCTGCTGCTCCACAATCAGCTGAGAATGTTTCCTCTGCCCCTCCTGCACAAACAGGCCATGCGTTAAACTCCCTCAGAAAACGGGAGAATGCTGAAATAAACCCCCTCTGGAAACTTCACCCTATCTAGAAGTTATCGCTTTTATAGTAAATACCCCCAAAAAACAATCATTGGCACATTCTCCGGGAAAAGTGCGAAGATCAGTCTCTCCCCTTGGCTGCCAAGACCTGAAGACCGCTAATCAGACAGAAGCGGCACAGCTGTTGTATAACGCACAGCAGACATGGTGCCGGATCACATGGGAAAAAAACAGTGTTGAATCTATTTATCAGTGTTGCAGCTGGTGCTCGTCCCATAGCTGCTGGGATCTTGGACGGCAGCGGAGGAAGGCCACAGACCTCAAGCTGCCGCTGCAGGGCGTTGACCTCCAGCAGGCAGCTGTCCTGCTTCTGGTTGATCAGTTCCAGCTCTCCCTTCTGGATGCTTCTCTTGCTCTGCACGTCCCTGAGTCGGTCGGAGATCTGCTTGTGCTTGTCTCTCTGAAATTAAACAAAGGTCTTAAGAGTCCCGAGGGCATGGAATATTGTCACTGTGGACCCAAGCATGTGTACCATTAACATCTGAAAGGAAAACGTGTGTCTCCGATGGTCCGTATTCAACAGCTGGCCGATCCTTATTCCTGAAGGGGAATGTAGTCGGTCGGGGCAGACAGGTGCAGGACGGCCCGGTCCTCACCACAGCCTCCAGCTCCAGCTCCAAGCTCCTCTTCTTGGCTTTAAGCTTGACGATGTCCTCTTGTTCCTGGTTCCTCTGATTCAGCAGCTCCTGCCGCCTCCTCCGCTCCCACTCCATCTTCCTCTGACGCTCCAACTCCTGCTTAGCAGCCTGCAGGGACACACACGATCACGACCAAACACACACACGCTAATCATAGGCTGCACACTTTCATACACAAGCTAAACCAATAACCAAATACAAGCTTCCCAGCCATTCAGAGACATACATAAACAAAGTTTCACCGGTAAAGTAAACTAGTTTGAATAAAGTAACACTAATTCCATATTTGCTTGCCCAACACAGGGTTGCAATAATGAAGTTTTATCATCTTCCAGCCAGAAGTCTATCCAGGGCAGCACAGGACACCAGGCTGGGGGGGTACACCCTGGAAGGGATGCCAGCCCATCACAGGGCACCAGGCTGGGGGGGGACACCCTGGACGGGATGCCAGCCCATCACAGGGCACAAAACACGCACACACTTACACAAGAACCTCACACTGCGGGGAATTTGGAGGCACCAGTCCAGCTAACTGCATGTTTTTGGAGGAAGGCCACAGAACATGGAGAGAACATGGAAATTCCCCTCAAAGAGTGGAGGTGGGATTCCAACCCCCAGCTCTGAAAGGTATGAGGCAACAGTGCCAGCGAATCACCAACAATATATATTTGGTAACCCAAACGTGATTGGCTGGGACTGGACCAATGACCAAAGAGCGGCTGCCTAACCCCAAAGTACAATGGTAGCATTCCACAGCAGAAAGACTGACCTCCTTGCGCTCTAGCTCCTTTAAGCGCTCCTCCTCCTTCTGCCGTTCCAGTTCACGTTGCCTCTCCAGTCTCCGCTCCTGTTCCTGTTGCCGCTTCCTCTCCAGCTCCCGCGCCTCCTGCTCACGCCGCTCCTGCTCCTCCCGGGCCTTCTGGGCCCGCCTCTCTTGCTCACGCCGGTCCTGCTCCTGCAGGACCTGCCGCCGCCTCTCCAGCTCAGCGTTTCCCCGCTGGAAGTTCTCCTTTAGCTTGTCCTCGAATGAAACTGCAAGGAGGGTCATACACACACACACACACACTTGTGGTAACCATGGCGATACGGCCAGTGTCCTTTGACCTCCAGCAATTGAATGTGAATTAGGTGATTCTTTGTGAAGATACCAAGAACGGCATATCACTAATACACACTTGTGTCACCAAAAACATTCACTAGCTGAAAGTGCCTGTGTGTGTGTGTGCATGTGTGTGTGTGCATGTGCATGTGTGTGTGTGTGCATGTGTGTGTGTGCGCGTGTGTGTGTGCATGTGCATGTGTGCGCGTGTGTGTGTGCATGTGCATGTATGCACGCGCCCGTCCTACTAGTGTTACCATTACTCTTTGTCTTCTGAGGTGGGTCAACTTGAATTTCCTCAGGGACGATGGTGCGACTCAAAGGAAGCAATTCCCCCTGCTTCCCCGTTCTGCAAAATACAACATGCCTCCGTGTTGGTAGAACATGCTAGAACCTGGGACTCGGAGTTAGGCTACACAGGAACAACCGCCATACAGCTTGCCGTGCTTACTCATCAGGAGTCCCATGGCTGGGCTCCGTCGAAGTATCTCAGCGTACGGGGGTTTTTTTTTTTGCAAAATGCAGCCTGGCTCTTCCCTGCTTCTCAATGATGAAGGGCTTCTTCCTTGCTCTATGGGACTTCAGTCCTGCTTCTAACAGCCTGTTATGAACTGTCCTAGCACTGTATTTCACGCCTGCACTTAATGTTTCCATTTCTTTTGCAGGTCATTGATGTCATCCTACGATTCATGAGGATAAATGAACGGTCATCTCGAGCATTAGGAAGTCACTTCCGCCCTTTACCTGGCTGGTCTCTGGTCTTTCCCAGCGTCTCCTGTTTCACCTTATTCTTATGTATTTGCGGTCTTAGGAATTTAGAACCTGGAAGCAACGTGCCGCTCAGCGTAACCTTCTGCCAGCAGAACCAGCGTGTAAAAATGCAGATTTTTTTTCCATATAGAGTGGTCTCTATTTTTTCCAGAGCTCTATTTACTGCTCTGTCAGGTTCACCGATTGGCCCCCGGCGACGGCCGTCTACCTGACGGAGGGGGGCACCAGGTCCCCGGGAAGCACGAGGGGCAGCGGCTGTCCGGCCTTCGCCATGTCCACCAGGTGCATGGCCAGGATGAACTCCTCCGCCGTCAGCTGACCGTCCTTGTCCACATCTGCCAGGTTCCTTGGGAGAACATGTGGGAAGGTCAGCAACTGATCCAGGTCCACAGATGGTGACAACCAGCATAACCTCACCCAGATCATGAGGGGTCCAAGCATGTTTAAGGTAGGCTAGGCTAGGCTATGATGTTTGTTAGGTTAGGTGTAATAAAATGTATTTTCACCCAGGGAGAGGCTGTGCTTGGTTTTGGTAAGTTTTAGCTCAGTATCTTTCTTTAAACATTGTGAAAATAGTATTTTGATAGACAGATGTATAAAAAATAAAATGCCTTTTTTTCTATAAAAAAAAAATGCAGTGATTATTGCGGCACATTAAAGACCTGCGACACGCTTCTTATTGGTTGATTATCAGTAGGGTCCCATGAGTCATAACTCAGAAGTACAGACCACCCGCCTCGACCCGTCGCAGCAGCCGCCTGACACATGCTAACGGGAACAGACCATTTAAGAAAAGAAAACAGCACCAGAAATATCATGACGGCTTCAGAAACCACGTTAGCGGGGAGCTTTTCTGTTCTCCATTCAACCTGCCTGATCGGTCTGGCCCTGGAACTCAGCCAATCATAAACTGTCATTTTATACATTCTGCAGATGCTGTTACCCAAAGTGACGTACAACTGTGGGCACAGGGTCAACTGGAGCAGTTAGAGGCTAAGGGTTGCTGTTCAGGGGCCCAGCAGAGAAATCACTCTGCCAATCCAGGGATTTGAACCGTCGACCTTGCGGTTACAGACATAACGCCCTAACCAGTAGAGCCACACATAGAATGGACGGTGAAAGGATAGAGCTATGAAATTTAAGAGGGACAAACAAACCAAAGCGCACCACTGCAGCCGTGACGCACTCAGTGGACACTCACCAAACGGCAGCCAGCTGAGTCTGAGTGAGCTGAGATGAGGCCAGAACATTCCGGACCTGCACACCTGCAAGGCAGAAAAACGGCGAGTGGAACATGAGCTTCAAGCTGAACGACCAGAAAATTGGGGGGGGGGGGGGGTTCCCCACCAAGAAACCACCATTAACGTACAAAATGTTTCATAATCCCGTCGAACACAGCCTGCAATGTTACTCGCGAGCTGTGACTCATTTAATTACTGGAGCAATTAAATCAACAGCCAGAGCTCAGAGCCTTTTACCCGTGATGCTAAATTCTGCCATCTGTAATTAACGTGAACTGCTTTCCTATTATTACGAACATGCCTGACGAATCCCTGAGCAAGCTTATTACAAACAACATGCTGTGTTAATTGTCATTAGAAGGTGCTAACTGGGTTCGCTGGGGAACCTGTCAGGTGCAGAGTAATCTTCTCCCTACACAACTCTATAAATTACTTACCATTCAAATGTTATGACCGCAGCACCATTCAGATTGTTAAAGGAAAAGCACAGTGATTAGTCTGACTCATTTGTGCGTTTATGGCTAGTCAGTAGTCTTACATTGCAATGGAAGAATTCCTTCCAAAGGTCATTTCTGTTCAGCACCTATTACCGACATGTTAAAAACACTAATATCTACATGATCATTATCTTACAAAAATCTTTTTACATCTGTTCAAAGGTCCAAAGAAAGAAGGCAATAGTCCCAACTGCAGACCATTAACCACATTCCAGGAAAAAAATGGTTCATTATATTTCTCTCATTTACTTAGATTTTAGTTTACTTTTACAGTATCAGACTAAAATGAGGAACACTAAGAAATTACTGAATATCCAGTACTAGCACAAATACAAAGAGTACCATAGCCAATACTCAAGCAAAAGACATTGATCTGTGTTGTTCTTGTCCAGCGTCTAATCAATTGAATAACATTCTGTACATGCTATTCACTGTGTAGTGCCTGATAAGTCAGAGTATCTATGAAGGAGAGGCCCAATTCAGTGATAAAGCCTGATTATCTCAATTTTCAAAAAAAAAAAAAAAAAAAAAAAAAGCTTTTTGTATTGTCTTATTTCAAATGATAATTCAACAAATACTCAAGGAATTCAATTAAATCTGGCTCTTAGTATAATTTTCTCATCATCACGAAATAAAGTACAGCTTTCGGTTATACTAGATGTGATTGTGTCTTGTGTGGGGTTAGGGTTAACATTATCTTTTAAGATGTAGCTCCGACACATGAATGTGTAGAACTCAGTTTGTGCAAATTTGGGGGCCCCCAGCAAGCGGCCAGATACGTGGCAGGCAGCGCAAGGATCACCCACCCGAGAGGTAGTTAGTCATCTGCTTGTCCAAGCTGTTGAACTGCTGCCGGTATTTCAGCCGCGAGGCCTGTGGTACCGCCCAGTCAGAGGCACCTGTCTTGGGGGAGTTGCTTACTAGGGAGGTGGTGGAGGAGGAGTTGGAGCTAGACGAAGAGACCGGGCAAAAGGTCAAGCCCTTCAGATAAATCCATGTCGAGCTGCCTGCTTCAGAACGTCAGAATGGTAGCAGTCCATTTTACGTAGCACTCAGCAGCTGCTGCGTGGGACTTGGTGAGTCATAAGAGCATATTTAAAATAACAAGTCATCTTCTGGCTTGGAGAAACAGCTAAAGCTCATTGTGCATCAAACCACAGAAGAATGAGTTCTGATAGATGGTAACATTTATCTTGGCATTTTCAACTGGCCGATGAAAGTATCCGTTAACAATGAGACTAATTAAAATGAATTAATTCAGAACCATCTAACAGTGAGTCTAGTATCAAGACTGTATTTTGGCTGTATTTTTTGGCTATTAATGATCATTTCTATAAACATACAGAGGAGAACACAGGAGGAAAACCATCAACTGTGTACTGAGGTTCTCATTGTATGAATACGATGGACACTCTTCATTCCGTGCCTCGATGGCCGCCGGCTTCTTTGAGAGCCTACCTGCTTGACCCGAGTTCCAGAAGGGAGTTCGACTTGGCCACTGGGGGGTTGGCAAAACTCAACGGGCTCGACGTGAAAGAGCTGGAAAGGGGAAGAGCTGCGGGGACAAAGACATTCTGGCTTGACTTCGACGGAGATGTGGCGCCACACTGGGAAGGATGAAGGGCCTTCAAGGCTCAATAGATGGTCAGTGTAAGGCAGACAAGGACCATGGTGAAGAGAGGACCTCAATGCTTTAGTAGTCTGTAGGTGAAGCGGCCGGTACAGGCGTTTTTAATCCTGCCCTCGTTTCTGAAGGATGGCTGGGAGGTTCCCGTGTGCCCAAGTGTTTATAAAAGGAATGGAAATGGAAGGGCACCTACTCGCTAGCGGCGCAATCTGGCCGTTGGCAGGGATGGGCTGAAGGAAGCCGCTGGTGCCATTAGCCAGAGTCGGTGTGCCAACTGTGGGAATCAGAGGCATGGACAATATGGAGGGCGGTCTGGGGGCGAAGCCAGACGTCAGGGCTAAGGGCATCAGCGGCGGCATCGGGCTCATGGAGGCCATGGGCATGGGTGTCATCATGGGCATGGCGGGCATGATGGTCAGGTTTGGCATGGAGCCTGTTCCTGAATTAAACAGACATTACATGTATTAGACCAGTGCTTCCCAATCCGTTCCTCAAGGACCTACAGACAGTCCACGTTTTTGCTCCCTCCCAGCAGGGAGCAAAAATGTGGTCCGTCTGGTCGGGAGCTCGGAGGGAGCAAAAACATGGACCGACTGTGGGTCCCCGGGGCCCGGATTGTGAAACACCACATTACACCACCAGCACATTCACACTCAAAGTAAACAAAACATATCAAGTAGCTAATGATTAATTATCGTGCATAACTTTAGCATAAGCTGAGAAGGGCATACAAAATAACAAAAGCCCCCCATTTTATGTGGCGCTACCAAAGACCCAATGGTAGCATAAGCTTAACAAAATAAATTCAAAATTTCTCTTTTACAGAATTATTAGTTAAATTTAAATAACCAGAGTGTGGTTTAAAATCGTCTACCCTGAGACAGAACGAGGACACACTTCTGTTCTGGGAAATGTGACATCTGTGAGGTTCTTTCTAACCAGCTACCAGATATTCCCACTTTAATTCAGCAACAAGCCAACAGAGGGCGCCATCTCATTTGCACCATTTTAACACCCAACATGACACAAAGGCACATTGCGAGCCCTTTTCTGGTTCCTTCCGTGTTTGGGAGCCAGATACTTCTGGTAACTGGCCCTTATCCAATCCTATTATTTGCAAGAACCCAATTTAAAAAAAGAATTAGCTGGCGACTGTTTTTTCGTCGTACATAAAGACCTCATTATGGTACCATTTAGGCTAGACGTTGTCTGAAAGGATTCAGGGACAGAAAGCTGGATGGGAGTCAATGTGCCAGCGTGACCATGATTGAAGTACACTTATGTGGAGGGTGTGTGGTTATGTGGGGGTGGGGGGCGGGCAGACCGTAGCACGTGGTGGGCATGGCAGGGGAGGGCACTGAAGTCTTCATGATAATGGGCAGCGCCGAGGGAAGGCACTGCCCCTGCAGCTTCATCTTGATCAGCTTCATGGCGATGGAGAATTCCAGGCGGTCCATCTTCCCATCCTTGCCGAAGTCGGCCAGCGACCTTCAGCACGGCGGCAAAGGGGAGAGGGTTAGCTGCTGCGGAGTCGCTTTCCCGCCAAAAAAATGAAAAACAAAAAAAATCCACGGAGAGTAGCTATTTCAAGGCCTATATGTCAACACCACAAAATTCAGCCACATGGTCTCTGGGGAGGAGGGGGGGGTCGGTGGCAGGGATTCCAGACTTAACTTAATCAGGCTGGACTTCCTGTCCCGCTCTGATCTCACTACTGAAACTTTATACTACTAAAGGAAAGGCGGAGATTTCTAACAGGAAGTTGAGGCCGGGGCAGGAAGCATGACTCTGCTATCCACATCCAAGATCAGACGTGCTTCTTTACGAGGAAGACTCCTTCCTGTGACTTCAGATGCACATAATGCACTTAAAACAATCTCAGTAAGGTGGCCTGATCATCCATAGCAAAAGGATAGGCGGGTTAGGCAATTGAGGGTCACAATACTCTCATTACAAGTAAATGAGTAACAGCGGTGCTCAGTGCGATACTGCTTCTCAACTCACAGATAGTTAATAAAGGTTCCGTTTTATCACATGCCAGTAATACCTACTGCTTTGGCGTTCCCATCCACACCCTTCACTAGTATAACTGATTCACGTGCCTTTTACTTCTTTAAATGTTTACATTTAATTTCAAAATTACCTTTGAAGTGATGTAAGGGAAAACTTGCAGGTCTCATTAAAAAAAAGGGGGCAGTGTTGGCCTCTTTAATCATTTTGGCACAAATCAGGAAATGAAAATGAGCAGGAATACACACAGGTATCCAGCTGCAGAATAACACTGATTACTTGATGCACTGGCTTATGAGGACCCTGGATGACCCATGTGACCCTGTCCTGGGCAAGTGATTGGGCGAGGGGCACTTTTATTCCCCAGCTGAATTTACATTAAAAGAGATATCAGCAACCATTCAACAAAATTACAAGGACGCAAGTATAAGCTATGACTGAAAAACCAACCAACAAATACAGACATTTACTAGCAAGAATGCGAAATAAAAACTTTAATTCAATATATTCATGCTTATATGTTAATACTCTATTTAATATTTCCAAACCAATTTCTATGTCTGCTTTTTTATTATTATTTATACAAAATTCATACTGATGAAAGCATACAAAGTGACAAATGGCAAAAAAATAAAATGATATGAGTTGCTGAAAAAAATACATTTACAAGATTATACACTAAAATTTGAGTGTGTGAATGGGGAAGGATGTGTCTGTAAACATCATAACTTTCGACCTGTTATCTGAACTGAACACCACAGTGCTCAGCAATACATCGTGTTTCTGGTTGTGCAGAGAGACAACAGAAAATCGCTGAACATCCTCACCATATTTCGGCCAGAATGGAGGACGGGAGGCCCGACTGCAGGAAGAATTTGCGTGCCTGGTCTCCTGTGGGGATAGAAACATATCAGAGCCCTACAGGGGGATACACATCACACATTACGCAGACTCAAACAGCCACAGATGCCCCCTACAGATCCCTACACATCATACATTACGCAGACTCAAACAGCCGCAGACACCCCCTACAGATCCCTACACATCACACATTACGCAGACTCAAACAGCCGCAGACGCCCCCCTACAGATCCCTTCACATCACACATTACGCAGACTCAAAAAGCCGCAGACACCCCCTACAGATCCCTACACATCACACATTACGCAGACTCAAACAGCCGCAGACGCCCCCTACAGATCCCTACACATCACACATTACGCAGACTCAAACAGCCGCAGACGCCCCCTAAAGATCCCTACACATCACACACCTGCCGGTTCAAACGGCCGCAGACACCCCCTACAGATCACACAGTGGCATGGAAGCTGCTCTGCTCAGGACAGGAAGTGATAAAAACTGCACAGATCATCTCTGGAGCAGCCTTCCATCACATTTACCCCACTAAGGTGATCAGGAGGGCCCGCACCATTAAGGGCAGCACACACCCGCAGCATGGGCTCTGCACATTTCTGCTGTCAGGAAGACGACACACTTGCGTATCCACTCTGCGTATGTGTACATGGAGATGTTCGCAGTTCTCCGGTCAAGCCGCGTACACTGCACAGCCAGGAGAGCAGCAGTACATCGCAGATATACTGCCATGCTGCATGCTGGAGGCCACAAGGGGATCAAGCCACAAGGGACAGGATGAAAACGTAAGGGAACACAAGGGAACATGCACCTTGGAGCACAGTGCCACCTACAGGCAGACAAGAAAAGAGGGGCTCACAGTAATTAAAGAAAAACATGTGATAGTGCAAGATGGGGGGGGGGGGGATTCAGCTTAAGTCTATATACACACAGTGCCTATGATGGGGCATGACAGAGACTGAAACAGGAAACCACAAGAAACACTGACGAAACAATATATTAACGTGAAGAAATGATGCCAAGATCAGCGGAGGTGTGAGACAGTGTTGTGTGGGTTTAAGCCAGGACTGCAGACTTGACACCCCCACACAGGCCAGCACCGAGGTATGGCTGAGGGTGGGGGGTGTCGGCGCCACAGCCGGTTATTAATCGGCCTGAGCGTGCCGGATGTTTAAACACCTCCTGACGTACAGAGAAGGGTTGCCACAGCAACGGCGGCCCTCCGACTCAGGGAGGAAATGGAGGGGAGGGACTCAGATCCGGTGCTCAGCAAACCCACCCCCTCACCAACGGCTCACACTGGGAGGGCTCCCTGAGGAACACTACGCAGTCACCTCAGGAGGAAGAGGGAGGGGCATTTGCACGAGAACAATCTAACACGTACTGATGAGGACCGCGGTGCGCACACACACAGCGGAGTGGCACTAGACAGGATTTACATTTAGCTATTTATGTTTGATTTGCCAGATGCTTTTATCAAAGTACATTTTTTTGTGATAAGGGCAGAGGGCCGTCCCTGGAACAAATGGGGTTCAGGGCCTTTCTTTAGGGCCCAGTGGTGCAATCTCTGTGCCTGTGATCAGTTTGTTGGGTCAAATCCCAGCGTTGGCAGTTTCCTAACCTGCTGAGCCACCAATCGCCCCCAAAATGTGTTAGTGCCCATGGGGGGGGCGATCAATCCACTCCATCTTCATCAGTGCCGTCAGCTGGCCAACTTCCTGTCTGAAAAGCGACCCGCTCAGCCGTCGTCAGCTCACAAAGGTCCCCCCCCCCCCACCCATCACAGATCCAGCTCCAGGCCGCTAAAGGGCCACCCCCCCCATCCCGCAGAGAGCACAGTATCGACACGGCGAGGCAGAGCCCTACCTGATACATAGCCCATGGTGGGGGAGAGCGAGTCAAACTGCTTGTCATGATTGTCCCTCTCTTCCTTAGTGATAGCCCAAATGCTCTGGCCACCTGTGGGAAGAGACAAGGGTTTGGGGGCGAATATAAACAAAAGACATATATAAAAAGACTCTTTTCACTGTCAGTGCACAGTGGACAAGAAATCTGACGATGAAATGCAGTTTGGCATCTACTGCAAAAATACTAGAAACAGCGGTATGAGTTTTGCCGTTTTTTTCCACCTGACGTTTCATTAAAACTTTATAACATTCTGTTTTTTTAAATACATTAATTTCTGTTTTTTTTAATCACAATTCTATTTGTGTACTGTGTACTTTCTCATTTGTTTGCACTAAGTGCATTTGTTTGCACCATGTGTGCCGTCTCTGCACCCTGCTCCTCTCGCACTGTACGGCCGTCTGTACTCTATGCACTTCCTCCAGCTGGAACAAGAATTTCCCTCAGACCAATAAAAGTTCAGTTTATCTAGTCTACAATAAATAAGTGTGTTAAGCAAATTGTCAGGTATAGATGGTATACATAGTATAAATGATGATTATTGAGTAATGAGTACAGATAACATATGACTATGGATGACTGGCAATTCTTACTCAAGGAAAAATTTGCAAAAAAAAAAGGTCGACCGATTCAATACTTTGACTTTTTAACTGCAACACAGGAGAGGAAAGTCATGCTTTTGTTTAACCACATGTAGACTGAAGCACGTGACTTTTCAGGGCGAGTCTTATCGCTTAATGCACATCCACACCCGGGTCGTTCCAAAGCCACATTCATTATTTACAAAGCAAATCGAGAACAGGAACGCGCCGAAGTGCCGCCCACCACCAACTCCTATGGAAAACAGCACGTCAAAAATCACGCAGCCGGCTTAAAGGGGCAGATTCATTTCGGTGATGCATGTATTATGAATAACGCACCAATGCTAATGAGCTACTTTTTAAACAAAGCTGACTTATGTCTCAAGTCATTGTTTCATTTGGAATTTTACAAGTCAGGATCTGCAGCACATACATGCATATGAAACCAGACTAGTGATGCCCCCCCTAGGTGGTGACAGTCATGTCCCCAGTGATGCCATAAAGGGCTACTTTTGGCGCTCAACTGAGAGGATAAACATCAAGGATGAAACTTTAGGTCAAGGAAACAACTGCTGAGTTTCTAAACACACGCGCACACGTTAATATGCTACACTACTGGGAGATAATCGGTAATTTAAAGCACTCCTTAACGGTCAATGTAGTTACGTTATGCTGACTAACTGGCTGTATAAAACCGACGGAGACAGGCCGTCATGATGCAGCATGCAGTGAGCGAAAACTGCAGTGCATCGAAACATAGGCAGACACTGGCGCTCAAAGACATCAACCACAACAGTGACGGCCCGCTGGCTTCCTGCAGCCATGGCCCACAGACCCAGCGAGTGCGGTCCTTTTCCCCCAGAAAATTACAGTTCTGAACACAATGCTGACATGTGATTCCAGACTGTAATATATTCAAGATTGCATATGAAGATTGCTATATATGTAAAACTATGTAAAACTACACTACCCAACATTAAACACCTATATTTACCAACGACAGAGTAATGAGACTCAGAACTCTGACACCCAATAAACAAGGATTACATTTGGAAACCCAGAAGGCAAGATGCCCTTTTCAGAGTCTCTCTGTAATGGGCTTTGAAAGACATCGATCCCAAGATTAGGGCCCAAGGCTTTTAAATGCAAACAAACATAAGCACATTCATCCAAACCACCCCCCCCCCCAACCCGAATGTGACCTTGTACAAACATCATGACCGATGTTTATCGTCATATAGGTGTACGACAGAAGCAATCTTGAATCCAAAAGATTAGGTGACGTCCTGCTGTATTTCTGCTTCTTTAGCCAGCCCATGAACTTCACGCTGGCTGTGAGCAGAACGGACGCCCTCTCCTCTGGCCGCCTGATGCAGTAATAAGCCTTCACCCGCTGCCAGATCGATACGTCAGCAGAGACACACGGAGGAATTCCTGCCAGCGATCGATGCGACTAAGTCTTTTCAGGATCAGACGGATGGCTCCGGCTAGTGCTCCGCTCCGACTGCATTCAGCTCTCTGCCCAGGGGTGTACGGAGCTCGGGAACACAAACGCACGCCGCACGCGCACGCAGAGATGGGCAAAAATGCATCAAAATGTATTTTCATATAAAATACCCAATTCGTATGTCAAAATAAGCTACGAAATACACCCAAACAAGCAAAATATCAATATAAACAGTATTTTGCATTTTAAAAGTACTAAAAAATATTTCACATACTGTCCTATTTCAGCATGTTCTTTCACAAGCATGCCAACTCAAATGGCCAAGCATAAGGGTAACATTTTTCCACTGCTAAATGAGACACAATATAAATGTGAAACCGAACATAAGATCAAATCAAATGAACTCAGATAATGGCAAATCAAACAAAAAAGTAATTATAAATTCAAAGATTTTTTTTTCTAATTTAATTGACAAAACTGCTTCCTTTTTTGCAACACAGATCCAAATAACTCAAAACGGCAAAATTTAAAATGAAGAATGGCCAACAAGTTAAGCGCTTCACTCTGCAACATCTTACAAACCTTTTAAGTCTTTTGGCTAAACACAAGTGATCAGCGATTGGCTCTAAGGACCATAAAATAAAATGTCTGAAAAATCTAAACTTCCTCCTTGTGTAGCACAAAGGATCTGCACACATGGTGTCATCACACACAAATTATGGGGAAATTATGTCCGGTTGTTCAAAATATTTAACATCAAAGTATTTTGATACAAATTACACAATTACCTTTATGAAATAAAATACAAATTACAAAATACTATTTTGTATTTAAATACATATTTTAAATACATACATCACAAATACTGCCCATCGCTGAGCAAATACACGTGGCTCATTCAGACAAAGCTCATGTGCTGAAGCAGCAGAGATCTTACCACTCATGGTTACAAGTGGGGAGGGGTGGGGTGGCCTGGGTGGGCTGTCCCAATCTTCTCAGCTGGCTAACTTGTGGTCATCTGCAACACAAATGGGAGGGGGGGGGGAGACATCTTCCCATTAGTGATCTAGAGGGAAAAGGCAGAGTGAACCACACACAGATATGGTGCTCTCTCCCCCACACTCCCCCTGTCTATCACATTTTAATAAACTTCCCCCAAAATCAGAATCAGCAGTCTTAGTTAAAGGGAATGTTACAGGCGTAATAGGGGCCCGGGGGGGGGGCGTACAGAAGCTCAAGCGCGACTTCATGCCAAGGTGCATGTTTTGTTTGTCCCGCACCCACCCCCCCCACTTCAGAGCGGGGCCGATAATGACGCCTTTTCCTTAAAAACCCGCCCAAGTACCCGGGACACTGCACAATAAACAGAGCGGTTCATTAATTTTACTTAAGGGAATAAGGTGAAAATTGAAGGAAGAGCAAATCAAAGGAATCAAAAGGTGTTTCTTTGTGCTTTAAGAAAACAGGAAAAGGCACTTACGCAGTTTTTAGAAATGTAAGGCGCTGAGATTTAAGGCTTTGCCAACATCAAACATGGACAAGTCAGGGCATTAAGGAGCGTGGGGGGAGACAGCGACCCCCCCCACGCTGAGTGCACATCATCGCAAATTATATAACCGCCGTTGCCACCACACCGCTCGGGAGAGGGTGGGCTGGGGCCCAATGAGAGGCTGCTCCAGATGCTGATCGGGTCACGCCACATCCGGGACAGACGCGGGGCGGCAGCAGCTAAATGCCGAGCTCAGCAGCCTCCGCGACCGGAGCCTGGCTCAGGTAACATCGACGCCCGCTACAGTCATGTGACACTGCCCGCCTCTGCCATCCCGAGCTCCTGAAAGCTCAGCAAACTCAGCCAGGCTCTGCCATTAAGCCATCGAGTGCCGGCTTTGCCGTTACGTTAATCACAATTATTTAGCAGAAGCATTTTTCCAAAGTGACTTACACTCGCAAAAGCGGGTTCCTGGAGTAAATAGGGTCTTGCTCTAGGACCTACTGGTGACATCACTCGGCCGACGAGGGGACTTGAACCGGTGACCTTCTGATCGTGGTCACAGAGTCCTAACCTGTTCAGCCACACAGCGCCATTTACACGTAATGAACTGGCATCAGCCAGCAGAAAGTGTCAAAGAGCTCGCCTTGCTGCAGGAATATCGTGTTAGCTATTTCCTTAGCGTGCAGATTTCAGTGGTACTCATCAGCTCCGGGTTAGTGGTCTATGCTATGTCGCTACGCGGTGACCTTTCAGCGCACTGCCAACTCGCCCGGACTCTCGGCCCACAGATCAAGGACAACGCTCCTCCAGGCACACAGGGGCGGCATTATGTCCCGCCCACACAGGGTTACCCAAGACCTGCCTCCCAGCCACACCCAGCACTGCTCTCGGCTTGCTCAAAGCCAGCCATTGTGCTCCTCCATGTTCCTTCCCAGAATCCTTCAGGGTAACATCTTAAAAACAACTCAATGTAATCCTGCTCTTAACACTCCTCTGTGGAACAGGAAAAAAAACAAAATTACAGGTTCCTTACACTATTCCTTGGGCGTCTCAGTTGAGAAGAGGATGGAGCCAAGGAGATAAGGAGGGGAATGTTAGGGCAGTGTTACAGTTTCTGCCGTAAAGCCAGAACTACACCCATACATCAGCTCTATGGCACTTAAATTGACTTAAGGATGCAAGGGTTGCACCCATTTAACATGAGCTCTTAAACCAAGACAAGCTGGCAGATAGCTGATCTATGGGAATTGCTGTTATTTGCCATTAAACTCTGCAGTGGAGTACACCTGTACTTACGTTTTCTCTTTTTTAAAAATAAAAAATAAAATCACCCGACCCCCAGTAAAATCACCCGACCCTGATGCCAGACCCTACTTCTTAAATCCTACATTTTCATGTATCAGCCCCCCCCCCCACCGCTGCTTTTGTTAACCCCACCTCGCACCTCACTGTCCTACTGTTTTTCAGACTGATATTCTTCAGTCTTCATCAAATAAAGCAGGGGTGGCCAATTCTATCCAGAAAGTGCCGTTGTGTATGCAGATTTTTGGTGCAACTTCCTAATTAGATTACTAATTAAAGAACTGTTTGGCTGAAGAGTCCTCACACCCGGGTTAGAACAGCTGACCTAAAGTTTATCCCAAAAACTTGAATATACACCAACCCTTTGCGGATAAGACTGGTCACCTCTGATATAAAGTGTAGACTGGAATAAAACTCATCACTGGGAATAGAAACTCATCATGAAGCAATGACATCATTTCCTCTCCAGGAAAAAAATGGAGCATACACCCATGCTCAGAATCAGTCAGACAACAGTTGGCAAGTCTACTTTTAACCAGAACGTATGGTAGCCTCAAACCGTGGCTTATAACGGCGTATTTGTTCCTCATGGCACCATCCCGTGACCACAGCAAATATTTGTCTGGGAATCAGTAAGTGTTTAGTTTAGCCCACGGAGTGTTAAGTCGGACCCACAAACAAAAAAAATTGAACATAAAGCAAGTTATTTGTCGCAAGAAGAATACTGGGAGACTGGCTAAGCGACAACCTCAATTCAAATCTCATGTAAAACCTGTCCACCATAGCTAAACCCAAGCAGGCCATGTCTTTTCAAGGACTCCTGTGTTTACAAAACAGAGAAGTAATCATTGCTGTCCCTGAATAAATATTTCAGCTTAGCCTGAACAGAAAAGGCTCTCTGGCAGTATCAGCAGAGCATGGGGCGGTACTGTCTGTGGCACTGTAGTTGTGTAATGCATCTCAGGTAGACAGGTTCGGAAAACACTCCCTTGAATGAATGAGCTGGGACAGTTACGACTTGAGCTAAAGAATTAAAGGAGCAAGATTAAGTCCCAGCTAACCCTGAAATCATTTCATAACCAAACCATCTTGGTTTCCCAAAGAAAGCCGCAAACACCTCACAGGTGGTCATGCAAGCGAGTTGAAACCAACAACCAAATCTCTGCAGATTTAGTCCTCTGGGTTATCCCCCCAGCCACATGGGAGGGGCTGCTTACGGCAAAACGGAGAAACAGAGATGGAAACCAGTGGACAAACAGCGAAACGAAACAGGAACAGAGATGACACAACTTTCACTCTCGTTCCATTAGAAACCATTTTCCTAGACACATCAGAGGACTATACTCCCACGTTAAGCAGGGCTGCTTACTGACTGCGCTCCACCAAGCACATGTGGAAAAGTATCGTTTGCACTGAACAGCTAAGTGTGTTATAGAAAAACACGCCCCCTGCCATGACGCAAACATCATCACATCTACGGCAGTCGCTAACCAGCCATCCGTGACCTGGGGGAGGGGGGTGGCTTCACCTCACCAAACAGACCTAACTGTGAAACACCTGCTCCCAGTCAGCAGGGGCAGCATCTAGCACGAAACAGACAAACAAACGAAAGAGTCAAGTCAAGTCAACTCAACTGGGCCTTATTTTCATACCATCCAAATACAGTATACAGTGGCAGGAAATAACATTCCCCCAGGACCACTGTGCAGTGTACAGACAGAGTGTGACAGGGGGCGGGATTCACAAGGTTTTACAGTGCAAACCACGGGACAGTGAAGACCTGGGGGGCTGGACACGGGGTTTACAGTGCAAACCACAGGATAGTGAGGGCATGGGGGGCTGGACACGGGGTTTACAGTGCAAACCACAGGATAGTGAGGGCATGGGGGGCTGGACACGGGGTTTACAGTGCAAACCACAGGATAGTGAGGACCTGGGGGTCTGGAGACGGGGTTTACAGTGCAAACCACAGGATAATGAGGACCTGGGGGGCTGGACACAGGGTTTACACTGCAAACCACAGGACAGTGAGGACCTGGGGGGCTGGACACGGGTTTATATCAGAGCTGTATCGGTACATGTATTCATCATGAGCTGTTCGGTTACATCATTTTCGCTTCGGTGCGCACAATGATACGAATGAATATGTCTTGACACGGGCACAACCTAAGTTCTTAAGTAGATTCTCAACACAATAACAAAATGTTATTCTAACTGTGGCTGTGGGGGGGGGGGGTTCTCAGCAATGGGGCTACACATGGGTAGGGGGTGAGACAGACGACAGACAGCAGAGTATTCAGTGCCCTGACAGCCTTGGGGTAGAAGCCGCTACTGGTCCCGGGATTCACAATGCTGACACGCATCATACTAGCTGGAACTCTGGATCTGCATCAGTTTCCTGCCTCCCTTGAATCCCAATGACTGGTTTGGGTTCAAATCCCAGTTCCCACCTCACACAGTCACCATTGTCTAGTCAAAATCTCAGAATCATCTGTCACTTCGGCCAGAAACTTCTGGAAGCCTGCCTAAATCGCCATGGCGACTCTGGGGCTTCATACAACTACAGGCAGTGATGGCCAACTGTAAGGCAGACACTGGGAAGAAGAAGCAAACATGAATCTGAAGACTCTCATTCCTCTAAAGAAACTCGCTTAACTGCAACAGTTATATTCTGTGAGAAATAAGGCATCAACAGGCAGCAAGTGCTGCTTATATCTGCCAGTAGTGGCTTGACAGCACCCAGTAGTGCTGGTAATGGGTGAACGGAGATAAATGGGCACAAACTCATCTGGTGGTCCCACCGTGCAGGGGACGAGGAGAGCAGCAGGACAGCCAGAGCTCAGACCACAGGAAAGTGTGCATGAAAGATCCTTCTGGAACAATCGCCCAAATATATCAGCTGCAACATAAATGACACTTAAGCCAACTTTCTTGGAACATTAAGGAAGACCAAGAACGTGAATGCTGAAGTGACAATCTGGGCCAGAGGTGAATCACATCTATCTATGCAATCATCCTTCCATCAAAAACATAAATAAAAAGTCTATTTATGGCTGGACTGACCTGAAGCCAGTCACAGGAAGCATTAGGGGCAAGACAAGAACACTCTGGAGAGCTCGCTCAATCATTCACTCACTCACTCACTCACACATTTATTCATACCTTTGTGGAAACACTCAATTCATTTCTATGAGAAAATCCCTAATCCCAACAATGACAACCTT